CAAATCAATCCAGTAACCCTAAATCTCAGAAATGACATTTGGCAAACATCAGATGTCTGCAGTAGAGCCAAAACAGGAGCGCCTGGTGGGTAAGCTTGGCGTAGCAAAAGCAAAACCAAAAACTGTAGCTACGTTTCAGGAGTTTTATAAAGCTGTTGTAACACAAGCTATGAAAAATACTCCATTAAACTTGAGGGAACTGCCTCCTCGTATAGCCATGCTTTAAATTTCTGGCTCCCATTGATGGAGCCATAGAGAAATAAAGACTAATTTAATCAAATATCCCTCCTAAGTGTGGTTGTAACATTTTTTGTACTATTGTTGAACATACTATGCAAATACACAATAAGTCAAGTCACAGTTATTTATTCACTCTGCCTTTTTCTGATTGTGGGAAGAGAAATGCTCATTTTCAGCATCAAGATGCAGCAAAGTTTTATTCTGAAACATTCTTAAACACTGAAATATTTTAATTTAATTTGTAAAATTGAACAAAGCTTGGGGCACCTCTTGTTTTTTATTATATTACAAACTGCACACATGCTGAAGCAACCTGGTCAAAATGACTGAACACAGTCACATTTTGGCCCAGTAGACTTAAAATATCAGCTTTCCTCTTCCAGCATTAGCACTTTATGACTCAATGTGTTTTGAACATGGGTGCTGGTATATCTACGACTCATTCTACTTTTTACGGAAATCCGAATATACCCGCCTACAAAGTGTTTTTTTTTTTTAAGAAAAATCTCTCATGCTTTACTTCTGTGAGTAGCAAAAAATTAAAATAGAAGTCCCCTCAAAGCCAACAGAACAGAGAGGGCAAGAAACAATGGGAGATGTGAGAGTGTTAATCAGAGGGACAACTCTGTAGCTTAACAAACAGCACTAATTACGCCGGGATAAAGACGTGTTCATCACACAGCTTATGAGACACAAGTTAATTGCCTCAGCTTGTAGTCCCCTCCCTCCATCTAAAGTCAGCTCATCAAAGTCACTCGGAGCAAATGCAACTACATTTACTTTCCCTCAGCCTCCTGTTTTTTTCTCTTTTTTTGCCTTTTTTTGTTTAGATTTTTCCTTGGTCTTTCACCTGTTTTTCTGTCTGAGACATAATAGGTGTAACACAAGCCTGATATTTTAATAGAACTGCTAGTAAAACACAAAAACATATTATATAGTAAACATGTATTGATTTTTAAATCACACACTTGAGTCTGAAGCATTTGTGCTGCAGACTCAAGAAAGAGGGAAATATTACTTTCCAGAACGGCTGGAGTATGCATGCATGTACAGAGGTCATAGAAAAACAATACTCAGAGTGAAAATGGGAATTAGATATATGTCAGCCAAACATGTACAGCAATGCAGAGAGGTACTCTGTGCATGCTGCTGAGCTTAGTGGATCAATATGCTAAAAATAAATGAAGAGATGTGTTCAAGGTGGGATTAAGATGTGTCAGGTTTCCATATATATTTTATTTTCGCTTTTATGAAATATTAATTTTTGTGCGCTTTCTGACGAGTGAATTTTGTCTCCTCCAGAACAAAGTAAAACGTCTCCATCAGTATTCTTCTAGGGATTGTGATCAGAATAGGAGGGGGTGGCACTGAAAACAAAAAGTGAATATATTCAAACTCAACACTTTCAACATGAGACGGCGAGCTTGTCAAGGCTGCGACGATACTATATGATCAAAGCACGACAGGGAGCAACAAGTGAAGAGGGAAGAGATGGCAGCTGTGAATAACGCGCATCTCTCTACACTGTCAGCAGGAGACGTTAAAGTCAACTGGAGTCATTAATCTAATGCATGGATATTTGTGCACCATGAATAATAAAATAATAAAGAAATGATTTGAATCAGCAGAATGTTCTTACATGAAACTGTCAGTTGGTCGGTTCTTAGCTCTGTCACGCTGTTTTCTTTTTTAAAAAAGTCTATTGAATAATGCTGCCATTTTATCTAAACTTCCCAAATCACAGAGGTATGTGATTGTACTGCTGTGTGCAATCACATATCGTTGCTCTTTTCACATACATCTTTAGCTCTTTTAAAGTTTTTTTTTTTAAATGAGTTCATCAGTACTTGTACTGATGATTACCCTGTTTGTTTGTTTTTTGTTGTTTTAAGATTTAGGATATTTTCATACCTTATAGTAGAGTAGACTTGGTTCAACTAGGGATAAAAATTGCAAAATTTGTCACATTTTCAGCTCCTGCAGTTCTGTTTCACACTGTGCTGTGTCAAGAAAACCAAATCCTTTAAAAAACCACAACTTACTTCTTCACAAAATGTTAGATTTTAGCGGTGAGATGATTTATTTTTTGTATTTGGCTAAAGACCACAAACCACTTCTCCTGCTAGCACTAGACTCAAATGTTTGTTTTGGTTGTATTTACCCAGAATGCCCTGGAGCGGTCTCTCGTCGCCTTGGCATTCACATAAACATTCAAACTGCACCAGAGTTCACTTTAACTGATATCTGGGTTTGTAAGCGTACCAGTTTGCATTTTTTGGTTCACATTAGAGTTTGATTACGCATTCACACCTCCCCAAATAAACCAGATTTTCTAGGAAAATGAACCAGAGTTCAATTACAACAAACCGAACAGGCCAGGTGTGAAATCACCCCAGAAACAGTTACGGTTTCTCATCCGAGCGCAGTTCATAAATGTACTTTTTCAAACACTTATCACAGCTCAACAAACTGATGCTAGAAGCATATTTCATGTTGAAAGTATTACATAACGGTCACAGGAAGGGTTAATGTCCAATAAAACACGATTCATAATTCTCTTCATTATTAACTCTGATGCTAATGCTTTAATTTGTTGTCACCCAGCTTTCAGGGGCCACCTTTCATGCATGACCCTCCATCTTCCTTAGTTGCGTCAGAGGAAGGGCAGCGAAGTTCAGGGCTTTAAAAGGCTTTGCATGCTTTGTCCATGTTATTTTGCACATCTCCCAGAGCTCCTAAAGTGACAATCAAAGCAGGCCAACGTTAACAGTGCTTTGCACTTGCGTGGCAGACATGGCATCACCCAAGACAATTCAGACGTCACAGCTGACTTGAGTTTGCCTTCATTGCTGTTAACATGATTTGACACAAAAGTAACATTTTGTACGTCTTCAGAGTGAAACGGTAGCCTGAAGCATCTTGCCAGCTGGTTCAAGAAGCGTTCGTGATCAGATCGCTCCACTGGCGTGGAGAAATGTTCAGCTTTCAGACTAAATGCAAACAAATCAATTTCAAAAGTAAAATTTGCACATTAAATTGATTTGTTTCATAGAATGGCCTAAATCAAACATATGGTTTGGTTCATTTTTGTGAAAATGGTTTGCAGCTGGGGGAAGAAAATCTAAATCAAGTTGCTTGAGAACTTAACTTAAGATTAGCATTATTAATAACTACATTGAAGCAAGTATTGGTACTTTTGGCAATGTTAGAATGTGAAAAGTTCTGCTGAAAGATATAACCAACATCTCCATAAAACTTGTCAGAAGAGGGAAGCATGCTGACTCCAGACTTAATAAAAAGACATTAATACAACACCAGCAGATAATATGGCTCCTCAAATCATCAACTGCAGAAACTTCATACAGGATCTCAAACTACTTGGAGTCTGTGCCTCTTCAATCTTCCTTCAGGCTCTTGGATCTTGATTTCCAAACGAAATACAAAGTTTACTTTGATCATAAAAGAAGCCTTTGGACCACTGAGCAGCAGCTCAGGCCTTTTTCTGCTTCACCCAGGTAAGACACTTCTGACTTTTTCTCTAGTTCAAAAGCAAAGAGTCGTGACCAGTGTCCACGATGTGCCTGTGTGTAAATATAAAAATCCAGTTACAACAAACCGGGGCATCTACAGCTTACATAATTTTCCTCATATCAGCTCATCATGAGTTCATTCCTATTGGGAGAAAAGGGAGTTGTGTCATAGCCAAAATACAGACGTGGGAATGCTTTTAGAAGACGCACTCCTTCACTGTAACACAGTGAAGGATAACTCCTGATAACTCCCTATTTGTCTGAGGTTTCTATAGAAGACATGGTTCTTCAGCCACATCCTGACAACCGCCATCTATACACTACAATCCTGGACTTAGCAGCCATTCCTCTGAGTAAGTACATGGCGACTGCGGACAGTGAAGCACTCTTCAAGTGGCTTTGCAGCATAACCTATAAAGGCTGCAGTTATCCCTTCTGCTTGTGCACATTTTTTCTTCCACCAAACTTTCCAATATCATGCTTGGATACAGTTGAACTAGGCAGAGAGTTGTTGTGGATAACCCTTTGTGTGTGGAGTATCACTAGCTATATTTTAATTGATCATATATTTGTGCAATTTAACATTTCAAAAATAAAGTTGCTTAATAGAAACACACCAATTTAGAGAAAAAAATATATTGTTTTCCGATAAAATGTTTGGGCACTAGGATAAAGTGTTTTTTTGTGTTTGTTTAATTTTGTTTGCAAAACTGAAAATGAAAACACTTTGTTTCGGCATCTCACCAGTCATGCCATTAGCAACCGGATGTTGCTGGCACAAACCAAGAAGAAGAAGAAGACAGGAAGTAGTTGTAGGATCTGCATGTTTTTAATGACTTGTGTGAATAAACTCATTCATGTATGATTTTAATTGCTTTCTTATTTTACGGAATTTTTTTATCGACATTTGCAGAATATAAAGTTTTGTGCATATTTGTAATGTAAACACGGCTATTCATAACCCAAAAGATAATAATTTGGGGGGGAGGGGGTTATCAGCTGTAACTCGTAACTATAAACACTAAAAGAAATGTGTATTCAATGTTTCTTTCAATCATACAGTTTAAATGTGTATCTTATTTAACATTTGAAGAATGTGTTCATGAACCAATTTCTGTTCTCCAATTAAGTTCAAAACTTTACCACACAACAGATTTCTGCTGGAATCAGCAAAACACAGAGATAGACAAAACCGCCAACAGGTTAATAGTTTCAATTTGATCTACACACCTGCCGTTGAGCAAGGCGAGGAAGTCGCCAGCGTGGTACAGGTCGTTGTGAGTCACCTGGCTGAAGCGGAAGGAGTTGAGGTTGCAGAAGGTGACCGCGGGGAACACGATCATGGACGCGGCCACCTCGTCCAGCTTGGTGACGTGGGGATACTCGAAGTAAAACTGCACTCGGTCCACGCACACCATCACCAGCACCCCCAAAGAGGCCATGAAGAACACAATCCACAGGCTGCGCTTCACGTACTTTCGTTCATAAGTGAACATGTGCGAGATGCCGTGCAGCGTGGACCTGGTGGCAAAAACTTCAATGGGAGCCGGCCGCTTGTAGTCCACGTCCTCCGGGTCCGCTTTCAGATCCATTATTTCCAGCGGGATGAGTTTGGATGGATGGTGACTGGGAGGCTGCAAACCGCGCGAATTGGCTTTATGAATAAGTTGATGCTTTATTTATAAGGAGGATGTTGGCCGTTGCCAAGTTCACGCCCTTCTACGCATGTATTTCTCATGCAGTCTGTGTGAGATGTTGCGTCACTAACAGCCGGCAAAAAAAAAAAAAAAAGAGAGAGAAGCACCTCAATCACAGCATTTTACTCAAAATCGCATCTGAACACTCAGTCCGTACACCGAGCACCGAGCAGATGTAGGAAGCATGCGATATTTGCTGCCTCAGTTTAAAGTCACAGTTCCATAATTTTAATATTGAAAAAAAAAAAAAACATAGGAGCGCGCATGGAGAGATGCCAGCGCTGTCTTCTTCTCTTGCACACTTCTGTAATCTAAGCGAGTTGTTTCCACAGTGATCACCAAAAAGAGCAAAACCCAGGAACACACCAGTGGGGAATAATCAGAGCAAGAAGAGAAGGGAATTAAGAAATCAAAGCGCTGATGTCTTCTCTCTCATTGTAAGGCAGGAGAGTAGACAGGCAACATGGCTTTTTCCCAGATCCTCAAATCAAATCCGAACACGTGCTGAATAACAAGGAGCCGCTGATCTCTGGCCTGTTAATGTTTTAAAAGCAGTCGTCGGCTCGTCCTCCTGGGTTTTCCACAGCTGCATCACACAGGAGCTGGGTCTGTGTCAGAGCTGCCTCGGTCGGTGCGCCTCTGCTCGCATCCATTCCTTCACCACAATGCGGGGAGCAGCACGCCAAACACACTCACATCCCCCGTATACCTTCAAGTTTATGTGAGGAGAAAAAAGCGAAGGCGACCAGGGATTAAAGGAGGTTGTTCCTGCTTGAAACACCTTTCCTTCTGAATTCAGTGGAGGTTGTCAGCAGCTGCGGTGGCGGCTTGCCTGGATCACTTCCATTCGTCCCAAACAGGAGAGAGCAGCGATAGGACGGCGGGCTGAAGGAGTCCAACGTCGGCGACACACGACTTGTGTCAGGCAAGGATCTGAAGAGGCGATTAGAATAAAACTACATCACGGAGGATGTCACTGAAAAACGAACCAGTTTGCTGATACTTTCAGGCAGCTCAGAGAGCATCAAGTTTTCTCTTTCTGCCATTAGAGGTAATAATAATAACTGACAAAACATAATTTTAAAAGAACATCGGAGAAGTTACAACAGAACCCAATTAGATTGCACCAAGGGCAGGAAGAAAACAACCAAAAACCTAGCAAAGAATTAACTTCCCACATTAGATTTTAATGTAAGTATTAAGTTTATAATGTGGGTTCCATGACAACCACTACACATAATCTGACATGAATATGGCTGCCATGTCTATAACTTTAGGTCTGTAGATCTATTTCACTCACAACAGCAAGTGTTTTTGGTAAGTTTCTACTTTGTGACTGGAATTTGGTAAAATCCTTCTTACATTCACTCAGACTGGATGGAGAGCATCTGCAAGTATACATGTTCAAGATTCTGCACAGATTTTCATTTAGATTTTGCTCTGGATTCTGTCTTGGCCATTCTAACTCATGTTCTCTTCATCTTAAATCTTTTAGGATTTTACAACTCTACTCTACCACTTTGGTGCTGACTATTCCTGTCTCTTCACAGTGCTGTTTGTTGTCCTCAGAAAGACTTATTGGGTTGTCGAAAAACAAATTACAAACAGGTGAACTACTTCTGAAAGGAATTGTTTGAGGTATTGACTAAACATAGCTAAACACAAATGCATGGTAAAAAATAAAAAAGAATAACTGGAAAACTGCAGTTTTCCTTTCACGTCACAATTTTGCTCTACTTTCTGTCACATAAAGTGACAATAAAATGTGCTGAAGTTTGTGGCTGTAATGTGATAATGTGGAAAAAGTTCAATGGGTGTAAATACTTTTGCAAAAAACAGTACATTGTGTGATCCAGGAAGTGCCAGAAGACACAGTTCTTTTAAGCAGAAAAATAAAGTTATCAATCTAAATAGGCAGTCTGTTAGCCTGTATGGTGTTTGTACCATTTATTATTGGGATTCACTACAGAGAAGCATCTTGCAGAAAATAATTTGACTTTAACTGTTCTCTCTCTGTTGTTTTCCAAACAGGCTTTTGCCAAATTATTCAGCACATCTTGTAAATTCTTCATGGAAAAGTCGCTGTCTTTAGCATTCCTGATATTAAGATAAATCCCAGGAATACTTGAGCTTTAATAATCACATTTACAAGTCAAAGACACATTCATGAAACAACTTCTTATGATTAGTTGAGTTTATCTTGTTGCTGCCACATTTCTGATGTTTTCACTTATGATTAGTAAAAACTATTATCTTGTATGACTGTCTCCAATATAACAATACTAACTCAGCTGTTGTTGTGCCTTTTTTCTTACTGTATGACATTAAATTAGACTAAACTTTCTTGTTTTAGGTCAGCTTAGATCCATTCATCTTTTTATTGTCTCCAGTCAGTTACCAACTCAAGGTTGCTGGTCAGCTTTGACTACCAACATGGTTTGTATTTGCTCAATGCCAGAATAATAATGGAAGAGTTTTTCTCTGAGTGGCCTGTCCTTGTTGGAACAGGACTAATTTCTCTGTAGATAATAACTCTCTTACCAGCTTCAACCAGCATCTTCACAAAGCAATTTGCTTTTATTCTGAGAGTCATGTACACGTTATGCAACAAAACATGTTCATCCTGGGGATACAGAACGCATCTCCTTGCACATAATTGCTTGAACAGAATAACATATCTTTGTGCTAATGGAAACTGAACCCAAGGTTTGTGGAGCTCTAGGATTCCCTCTGACATGATGGAAGATTTCTTTTGATTTACCCAGACAGTCAACATAAGGAAGCTGTGTGTTTGAAGGTTTGATGTATTCCTCCATTTTACCCAAATGTTGTGAAAAATGGTTTCAGCTGTACAAACCAGGGCTATTTATAACTTTTAAAACTTCTGACATGAAGTCAGGTTTATCATATTTTACCAAACTCAGTTCCAGCTCCATCCTCATGTGTTTCCATTGACCATACATTTGCGCAATTTAGCATTTCAAAAATGCATTCACTTGACAAGAACACGCCAATTTAAAAATAAAGTTCTTGTTTTGGATAAAAAGTTTTGGCACCAGAACAAGGTGGTTTTTTGGTTGTATTGAAATTGGTTTAATTTGCAAAACTGCAACGGAAACACTTATTTTGCATCACACGAGTCACATGACCAGATGCTGAAGAAGACGACAGGAAGTAGTTGGAGGATCATGGTGCAGCATGTTTTTGAATAAATGAACAAACTTCACATGTGATTTTAATGGAAACAGCAATGCCAAAATTGTGTTTTTCCAACATTACCAGAATATTGACAAAGTTTTGCCCACATTTGTAATGCAAACGCAGATACTGTTCCCCACCCAACTTTTGAGAGTAGAGAATCAATGTTGCACAGTCTACGTCTGTCAGTCTACGCTTTTCCTCTATATCGTGCCTTTTCCTTTTAATAATTTATTTATTTGTAGAAGGACAAGTACTCAATTATTAGCAACAGAGACATCAACATTTACAAGCTACAATAACTTGCACCATTGTCTTTGTGAACAATATCTTATCAAAAGAGGAAAACTGTTTGGTGTTTTTTAGTGTATTGGTTTCTGCACACATCAAGACTGAACTCTGCATCAGACTGCTTTAAAATTAAGAACACAGCAGTAAGAAAAGAAATAGCCTTGGCCATGTGTTTTCTTACAGAAACTAAACATTTATTTACAATATTGATGCACTGTATGCTATAAGCTTTACTGCTAAAACAGCACCTATTGATCTTTGTACAGAAAGACTTAAGTCTGTCTTCCTACTTATCATATTCAGTTTTTAATGAAGCAAACAGCTCATTACCCAATAAGAGGTGGGTAGTCACTAATTACTTTTACTCAGTGATTTAATGTCAAACAATAAAAGGAGGATATGGTTTCAGCTGTACCAACCAGAGGGCACACTCAGTCACTCAGATTAATTTAGTTCTGAGCAAATTATCATAACAGCAACAACAGAGTCCATTTCCTACACAGAGGCTCATTCATTTCTACATGTATGCATGTTTACAGTTCATGTATTTTCAGACAAAATCTCTTTACGAATCTGTGTTCTGCTCCAAACAACGAATGGAAATATGTCAGCATCAACGGCTGAGCCAACAATAGGCAATAAGGCAGATGTGTCACTCGACTGCCGCTGCCAGATCTGTCATAGACACCATATTGCCAAAAGGCAAGGAGAGCTCACCCATGAAATTGTTCGTTGCACGTCCAAAATTGCTATTTGGCATGGTATTGACTGGGAAAATGTGGCAGCATTTATGAAGCCTTCCTTTTTTATTGATCACTGCTGCTGGGAAGGCGAGCCATACGTTGCTCTAATAAGGGGATGTGAGTCCTTGTCAGACATTCTGTTTGATATTACAGTAGATGTTACATTTTTAAATGGCATTTTGATAGGACATGATTTACATTTACACCGATTTTGTCTTTTTGTAGCTTATATGATATTGCCACAGCAGTCCAGGAGCTTCCATGAATATAAAAGTAAAATTCTGCTCAGACTTTTCTGATGAAGTTGTCTTTTTTTTCCCTGATCAGTTTATATTTTCTCACAATAGGAGGTGAGTAGTCACTAATTACTTTTACTCCGTTTCATTTTACTCTTTTACTCTTAGCCGAGTAGTTTCTTTGACCGATAATTCTTAGTTAAGTAATGCTGAAATAGTGGTACTCTTACTTGAGTTGAATTTTGGGTACTAATTTATGTTAGTATATAAGTGTTTAAATGATAAACTGTGATAGGGGGTCTTATTTTAAACAGATACTTTGAAAACTCTGAAGCTAAGATGCAATAATCATTAAACTAAAAACGCTTGTAAAACAAAAATGTTAGTTTTTTCTGCAACACAAATAAAATCTATACAAGAGACATTTTATTTCAAAAAGGGCATTAAAGATCTGAAGAACCCAAGCATGATTTGGTCAGTTGAAGTAGTATTGAGTTTAAACTTAGCAAATGTGGAAATAATTGCAAGAATCTGGGTTTTTCTCAAGTTCGTAAACTTGCAGCTTTCTAGGTTAACTCCACTGAGCTCAAGTGGATAATTGTGAGAAAAGATATTTGAAGCTAATGGCTTGGAGAACTAATCCATCCCTCCAACTGGAGAAAGTGCTGATTCACAAGAAAAAAAACCTATACAAAGCAATATTCATAATAATTTGAATGTGTTAATGATGTGGAACGGGAAAACGTGACTATCAGATGTAAGATTTAAGAATAGAAGTATAAAAAAGAAAGAGCCTTAGTTGTGCTTTTTGTTGTGTTTTTAACAAAAGTTTACAATATTGATGTGCTGTATGCTGTAAACTCCACTCTATCTATTATGCACAGAACTGAAAGGGTTACATCTGTTTCCTTATTTTCTTATGTTCAGTTTTTAACGAGGCAAACAGCTTCGACGAGTCAGCACATCGTTAACATTAAATGAAATGTATGCAAGAATATAGTGGAGTACTTGAAGAGAAACATTCTATTCGTTTCCAGAATGGGAAAGAAACTCCTGTCCAATTTACAGTTTGCTTTGCCATTTCTCTTTAGATGTCATTTGGATTACACTTGCAGAGAGAGTGGGTTTACACAAAGGAGGATCTAAAATCTCTCACTGCTTCTCTCTTGTGTTTGCATCTCCCTTCAGCTCCCTCCATGCATGCTAGCTGTTATTTTGGCCAAGGCGGCTAAAGCTGTGTGGCTTGCCAACCTTCCCAGAGGGAGCTGGCAGGAAACCCGAACACACTCTGGGGTCCTATTGACATGTCTCTTAAGTTATCGTTGGTTAGGCAGCACACAGTGGGAGCGAGAGGCTCTTGACCCAGATGATTTAGGTCTTTCATATCCATGACCAGAACCTGCCTCTGATTGCAACGCTTTCTTGTCTTGGCGCTGATCCAAATAAGGTCCTCATAGACAGATGGTCATTAGATCTGATAATGGGTATCTGCAGGTTCCTGCCCAGACAAATGCCCACTGCTTTAGTGGCAATGATCATTATCAGTCAAGGACACTTTCATTGAAAGCAAGTGAGGGAATCATTAAAAAGGCTCGATATTCCCAGTTGTGACTTTTTACTACACAATCGACTCAGATCTCTTTTACCTCCAGTGATGCCATATATGTGTGCATGTTCATTTTCATTACTTTTTATATGTATGGTAACATGCCCTAGTGATATTAAGGGTGCATTCACACCTGTCCTGTTTAGTATGATTTAATGAAACTTAAGTTTGAACTCTAAAACCAAGATCTCAGTTCGATTAAAGTGAATGCATATGTGAACATCAAGCAGACTGGAGACCACTCCAAAAGCAGGGAGTGAACTATACCGCAGGGCATTCTGGGTAAATGAATACAACCAAAACAAATGTGCAACAAAGAACTGACTTAATTATTCAAAACTGGCAGAAATATAACCCGAAGGATCTGAAGATGTATCTTAAGGAAAAGTATTTACTCAGGTTGGCTGAATGCATGCCACACTTTTCAGATTCTAATGAGAAAAATTTTTCCCCATTTGCAGTTATTTGCTACTCTTTGTCGGTCTGTTACACAAAATCCGAAAAGTGTAGAGATTTTGCATTGGACTGTATTTCTCTTATTAGATTTGTCAACATATTGACTTCACTGTAACACAAAATGTGTAACAGTTTTGGTGCTACTATACCAAAACTAGGATGGTAGCAAAGCAATAATTAGAGTTTGAAAATTGCTATTCTTGTTCTGATTTTCAACTTTGACATGCACCTTTTCAGCGATATGGTTTATTTATGTGGAGCTGATCCGGCTATAATGTCTGAAGCCACTTTGATTACAGAGTCCTGCAGGCACAGATGAGTACGTGCCTGAAGGCTATTTATCGATGGGTAGGTGGTGTCATCTCATCACTTGTATTTCTGCCATCTTTTCGTGTTCCTGATTGTGTCTGAACATGGGTTATTCATCTGCATCGCCAGTTCGATACAGCATCAGGTCCATCTCTGCTGGAAGATTGATTCTCTGCCCCGGCAAGAAAAAAATTTGGAATTACCTTTGACAAACTTTGTGCACTCCCAGCCTGAGGTTCGATCCGCCGCAAATGAGTGTCATAAGATATTTGGAAAGCAGAGAACTTTGGACTCCCGTCATAATTACTGGGCTGACATTTAATCCAATTACCAAATACATTTGGTGTCAGATAGGATTTCAGAAGTTTAGCTCCCTATATGCTTTTGCCTTATATTCTTCATACTGAGGAGAATTACAGAGAATTGGAGCTGATTGCATATTTCGTGTCTTGTCACTTTAATGGCTGCATGTTCTTGAGTGATTGGCTATTGTCTGCCGCTGAGGCCTTATTATATGACACAACAGAAACTGAATGCCCGCTTGCTTTCTTGCAGGAAGTGCAAAAGGAAATTTAAATAATCCTTTAGAGAGAAAAAAAACACCCAAGCTGCTACGTTTCATTAATTACTAATTAAATATTCACCTCCAGGTTTCACTCAAACCCCCCAACATGTCTCCATTTAGGCTTCATTTTTTTATTTTATTTTCTCGGTAGTGTGCTGCTGCACAGTTTTCTAAAGCAAACCTATGCCCTGCTTTTATGAGATATGTGCTTAGAAAAAGGGGCAGCTGCTCCACGTTCTGACATGAAAGAATTCACATTGAAGCAATGATTAAAAATGAAATCACCAGCAATTACTTTTAAGTGCTGACGAAAAAGAGAGCCAACAGGGAAACTCAAAGCGTTTTCGATAAGTTCACTTAAAGCATGCATTAAACGTAAAATGAAGTATTTTTGAGCCATGGATGTAATTAATTCAGGGAATGTTCTTGATGTAAACGTTTTAGATAATCTCTTTATCGGTTTACTGGCTAGAATAAATCTTGATGCCTCAAGACTGGATTTGTTTTGTCTTTCCAACAAATATGTTTAAACAATGTTGAGTCATAATTTTGTAAAGCTCTTCTAATGCAAGCAAAAAGTTTTTTACACATGACAAGCTTCTGAGATGCTTTGGTCATCACACTGATGATCATGTAAAACATCTGCAGTTGATTATAAGTTGATTTTTCAACATGGACACTTCATTCCATTTCACAAAATTAAGGATGTCTAAGTTAATTTTTTTCCCTTTCCAATATCCCTTCATAACACTGACTGAAGTCATGCATGAAAGTAATATTGCACAGACCAGTGAAGCCCTGCGATTACATTCTTTGTCTGTGTGCCTCCAATTGTCAGAGGTGGGAAGTGATTGACAGAATACACAATAGATTCGGAGGTTTGCTCCGTGTTGTTTAACTCACGTCGCCCTCAGACATCAAACGGCCTCTAACCTGCTTTTCTTTCATGGGGTTGAATTTTGGAGGGAGAAAAAAAATCTGGTAAAACTGTGACAGCTTTACAATTTATACACTGACACATTAGTCTGCAAATGAAGCAGTTTCTGATACGACACATTTACCCAAACTGATGTTTGTGATGTCGTGCTAATTGACGTTTAGTTATTTGCTCTTCTTTTCCTGTGGGAATAATTATATTTGACAGCCAGTGACAGGTAAACTGTAAATTTGAAAACATGCATTGCAAAATAGATACAAGAGCTCCCCTTGCTGTCACGTTTTTTGACAGAGCAATCCCAAGAAATGCATTTTAAAGTAAGTTTTAGTCTCTTTTTTGTTGGAGATTATTTTTAATTCTTGTCTCTCTTCAACAGGAGATGATAATGAGATTTTTATCACATCTTGATAACTATTTGAATGTCATGTAGAGTTGGACAATAAATCAATAACTATTGCGATAGACACATGATCAATATTAACAAATAGAATATTCACTGATCTCAGATCCAGAACCGCACATAATTCTGGGAGATGTAGGTAGAGGAAGGACTTTAGCCACTCGACCTCTCACATCGATTTAAAGTTTGGTGGCATCAACTAACTCACTCACTCTTTGGTTACCTAGCAACAACCTGTTGAGTAATTTGTGCCAGCAGCAGTTTAATGTTTTGCTACCGTGCCTTATCACTGCTCAAAAAGGAAAACATTGAAAACAATGAAAAAAGTTTGGTAATATTTCAGACATTTAATCAATAATTATCGATAGACTGATATGAAATACTCATATAGTGAAGCGTTTTTCAGCCACATTGTCCATGTAATAAACACAGCTGCTGGAACACGCAGAGCAAAAAAGGTTGAACAACTATGTGTCAGATCTTTCATCATCTTCTTTCCTCCTCCACCACTCGGCAGAGGAAGCTCGGAGCAGCCCAGCCCGTTTCCACTCCACTTGACCCAGTCACGACCACAAACCCAAGGCTGGGACCTGGCAACACGGCCGCAGCTGAGCCCCGGGCAGAGGGGAGCAGGAAGAACCAAGAAGCTGCAGGTGAAAGCAGCAGCAGTCATTAGGGGACGGGAACGGATGAGTAATGCACCCCGGGATCAATCAGGCACAAATGACCACAGGAGATCATCTTTCTCCAGCAGCAGGATCCTGCTACCCTATCCTGCCCCTTCCTCCATCAGCCACGTCATCCGGAGCCTTAAAGCCACCAGATGCACAGGAGCAGGCTCAGAGAGGACGATGGAAGGAGGACAGAATGTGATCAGGCACTGTAGTAAGAGAGTTGTCAGGGACAGCAGGAGCCTATATTGATTGTTTTCGCTTTTGTATAATTGCAATTAAAGTTTGCAAACAGGCGTGTGGATCAGTTTCACAGCTGTCGCCCATGCAGGGATGCAAGGCAGCATTGATGGATCCTTACACATTTCCGTGGCCAGAAGGGAAAGCCAGTAATAACCCCAGGCTCTCAAACTGTGAGGCTGAAATACTACTAATAAAAAGCTGCTTTTTACTGACATATAGCACCTCTACAAAGATCAGACAGAAAGATATTAGACTGAACGGAATATTTGTGATTAAAGCCGATTTAAATATTTGAAAACTTTATTGTCTTTCTTCTGGGAGGCACAAGAAATAGAGGGACGAAAAACAATCAATTATTCAAACCATTAACAATCCCATTCATCCATTCATCTTCCAGTTTTGCTCAGAACTGGGAAATTTCAACTTCAACTGGAACGCCTTCTGAAGTCAGATTTCCCACGGCAAACTGGGAGCAACTCTGTCTACCCCAGTTACGACTTGTAAAGTGGACTTCAAGTTTCAATATGGTCGCTAGTCGCATCAAGAGTAATAAGCTATGGTGGAAACATGCTTATTTTACAAGACATGCATGTAAAAGTGCATCTAAAATCAACATGAAAGTAAAGCTTAAAAATTATATTTGAAAGAGTTGTTAATGGGAGTTGCCATGTTGAAATTACAACTTCTTAACTGGGAAGCTGTTACCTTGTTTTGACGTCAAATCCGAGCTCTGAGTTCCTATATTTCCCAGGTAACTGGAAGGCAGCATCAGTCCAGCCAGCCTGTCCATCTCCAGGTGTCACTGGCAGAGGCAGGACAAACACAAATCACCAGTTCATCATATGGTGACACAAAAACAGCACAACCATCCATATACATTAATTTACACCTGTTACAATCAAGCAAGGTTAACTAAATTAATTTGCATTGTTTTGATGTCTGGAGGAAGCCCAGAAATCAGGAGACATTACCACCCTGAGGGGGATTTCAACCCAAGACTTTGGTGTTTTGAGGGAACTTCAAACACATTTTTGAATTAAAGGAAGAAAAAAAACCTTCAAATTATTCTGTCATAGAAGTTGGTGGTGTCTGATTTAAAGAGACATTAACCTCTATTTGAAGACACATTAAAATAGAATTAATTTGGATTACCATGTGAACTGAGACCGGTAGGGCTTCACCTCCAGTACGCTCCTGTAATTGGTTGCATAGATTTCCATTAAATCTGGTTTGCGGAGTCCTTTGATTTAGACTAAAAGCTACATTTTATCAAAGTTATGGTCGCTGTACTTTTTAAACAAAGCTAAATTAGAAATAATCCACAGGGACGTGACGCTACATTAAATCTTAGCATAGCTACAGAGTCTGTAGGCTTCCTGATGGCAGCATATTGATAACAGATTGGAAGTAGAGAGTTAATGGTAAACAGAAAAGATGAGCATGTGGATCATACTCCTGTCCAAATCCCAAGATAGATTTTAAAAGCCAGGACTTTTCCTAAGTGAAAGAGAGAGAAAAATAAGGAAAATTTACCGTTTTACTAAGAGCTGTCATCTTTAAAAAATAACTAGTCCTATTCACACTTTAAATGTCAGTTTGATGAAACATCACAAGGATGTCATCAGTCACATCATAGACGCTAAAAAAATAAAATAAAATCAGTGACATCAGGACCAAAACCACTTTGCATTTCATAAAGGAAATAAATAGAGTTTATCTGAGTTTGATGTTGAGTAAGTGGCTAAATAATAACTGTTGATTTCAGATTCAAAGCAAACGTAGAAACAGCATTAATAAAGGAGGCGACTTTTTGTCACTTTGATTGGTATAAACATAAAAATAGCGTTGTGCTCCACCTTGAGCCTGATAATGGTCACAACTGCCTGGTTGTTAATGCTCCCTTGGTTCAGTAAATTACTCTGAAAGTGATCCAGCACAGATTACAGCTGTAAACTCAAAGGTTGCTTTTGGTGACAGTCCAACACAGTGTAATGAAGAACTTGGAAGTGGAAGAAAAAGGATCTGCTGCTTTAAAAAGGAGTGACACAGTTGGTAGCACTGCTCCTTTGGAGCAAGGAGGTTATGGGTTTGAATCCTGACCTCAAGTTTTACTGAATGTAGTTTGCATTTTCCCCCAATGAATATGTAGGCTCTCCCTTCCATAAAGTCCAAAAAACATGACTGCTAGATTTATCTGACTTTTAGGCACCAGCCTGCCTGAAACTCAAGTCAAAGAAGTAACAAAAATAGATGGTTTAATTTTTTTTTTACAAAATACAAATCTGAAAAGAGCGACACTCGCATTTACTGTGACAGTCCTGAGTAAAGCCCAGGGTAATAAACTGCCTTCAAGAATCACCTAATTGGTAAATGAAGTGCATCCATGTGTAATTTCATCTCACCTCAATCAAGCTGATCTTTGGAGGCTTCTGAGGTATTATTGCTACAGAACAAACAGCATTATTAAGAAACACAAAGTTGTAGAGAAGTTTAAGCAAGAGTTAGGTTCTTAAAGCGGCAGTGTCATGTAAAATCAACTTTTTATAGCTTTACATCTTGTTATTGTTATTTCCTCATCAAAAACATAGCTGGAGTGTTGCCTTGATTGTTTCCATGCATGTTTGAGAAACGGTTGACTCTCCATGGCAACCATTCAAAACACATGTGCAAAACGCCTGGGTGGACCTAGCTCCCCCTTGGAGACGAAGCTCCTCCCCCACTCAGCTCCTTCAGACTAGCCAGCAGCAATTAGCAAGAACCTGGTGGAACAGGGGGTGGAGGTGACAAACACCCTAAAACATTCAGCCAGAGCTATAGAGCAATGATCCATAGCAAAGAACTTTCATTACAACGGCCTAGTCAAAGTCACCATCTAAAAAATGTTAGTTCTTGACATTTTAAACTTTAGGGAAAAGTTGTTGTTTTTTTTACACTAAAACACAAAAGTTATTGCTTGGAACACTGAAGATATTTTTAACATTAATAGCCTCTTCCTGAACTAATAACACTCCACGTGTCTTGCAACACTTTGTGCTTGTGAAAGTGGGATTACAGCATTTACCATTATCTCATATTTATTGTTCTGTGCGGAGCTATTTTGTCTGCATGTTGTTTTTTAATGAACCACAGAGGTTTTGATAAAAGCTGTGAGTGCTGCAAACAAATGCAACTAAACCTCCTGTGAAAGCTTTACTTTAAACATTATTGTTTTCTTAGAAAATCCAAACCAATTATATGATATTGGCTGAGGGAAAAATAAAATCGGAGGCTGCAGAATGACAGAGCCAAAATATAATTCAAACACCAATAACTTCATGTTGACAGGGAGACAGAAAAGTACCTGTTCAATTTTATACAACAATCATTTTAACCAATCTTTGCTGTCATAACAATAATTTTGAGAGGTTTTTGCATAAATGCCTGGAAAACTTGCTGTGTAAATGGAAGCAGTAACCTGCACGTTTTACAGGTTTACAAGAATATTTCACCAAAATTCAATTTAAAAATCTGTTTTGTTACATGTTCAAAAACCAGCAATCTAGCATATTGAGACATGAGTGGAAAACGACATTGGATGCAGGTGAGTTTAATCAGAGGAATGTAGAGCAGCTGTGGAGGAGAGAAAACAACAAAACCGATGGAAGGTTAATAATTAACACAAACAGAGCTGAACTAGACAATCAGAGAAACTACCTACCGAAGGAAAAATGACAATTATCTAGGAGAATAAATCAAAACACAGAGAACAAAACAAAAGAAATAACTTGGAAATCACCACAAGGAATTAATATATGGCAAAACCCTAGTGACAATAATACCTGAATATGGCAAGACCTTTCTAACATTAATAACAAACTCTGAAATAATCAAAACAGTTATGAAAACCAAAAACCCAAACATGACAAAGTTCAGACTCTCTAAACAACCTGAAAAATTATGTAAAAAACAATCGCATGTAAATTAAAGACAATCTTCCTACTGGAATAAAATCTTTTAAGTTTTTGTTTTATGTACATGTTTTTTTATCAGGTTTTGGATTCTTTTTTTGTAATATCTCATCTTAGGAAGTTTGAAATCTAAATCCATCATTTTTAATACAGCTGGCATTATTAACATGTACTCTGCCATAACCCTTAACTTTCTATCACAGGCCCAATCAGAGCATCCCAATAATTTCTTTGGAACCTCAATTTCCTGACTGTGTGTGCAAGACAACTTTATGGGAACCAAATCGACTGTTCACTAATGAGAGGAAGCTATATCAAGAACCAACATCTTTAATTAACGCATCCCCAGCACTTCCTGTCTTTGATCTCGCCGTTTGATTTGTGCCTCTGTGAGAGAAGGTTGGTGGAGGGCTCCACGAGAAGTTGGGAATGGAAATGAAGACGTGCAATGAGAAAATGATGAAACTGCGGTGCCCCCGTTGTACGGAAAGTCTCGCAGCATTAGGACCTTTCCCTTTGTGTAAAGGGCCAGCTCAATTACAAGTCAGCATAACTATCTCTTCAATAGCCTGATAAGGCAATAATCCCAAATCCATGCCGTTTTAATGACTTCCTGTCTAATTAAGAACTGCTTTACAAAAGATGGACACATCTGAGGCTGTCCCTTTGTACAGGAACCTATTGTTGGAAATATCAGTGTGACCAGCGATGAACTAAGTAGTTTTTTTTTCTTTGAGAAAGAGCAAAAACTAATCTAGTACATTAATCCATGTTATTTATTACTCAATGTCAGAGAGGTTAGAACAAAGTGGAAATCCCCTGTTAGTTCTGATGCTGAACTCTCCAGGTTGCAATGTAGGTCCTCATTTTGTCTTTAAATATTTATATTTCAGCAGTTATAACTAATATTTCATGTTTAATCTCATGAAGATTTGGATGTTTCAAGCATAAAAACACCTAACTAATCAGTCAGAAACATTAGTTGTGTGTTTCTGACATTATAAGCGTTTTTGTTAAGTTTGTTAGTCTTTACTGCCCTCTAGTGTTGGAATTTAACACTGTTACGTTAACAAGCAAACATCCAGAAAGTGGAAAATTTGAAATGATACAGGATTTTAGTAATTTAACATGAAATAAACTGCTTATCAAAATGTAAAACAAATAAAATCAATACATTTAGTTTTCAGTTCTGGAGGTCCACATGTTGCATTTCTTGTTTATTTGCCAGTATTGAACTAACTAACTAACCTTTGACACTGTGAAACTTGACCCTATAAAATGTTTTACACTTTTGTATTACTAAACATCTAATCACAAACTTGCATGCTATTTAAATTTTAGATTAGTTTTGTTCACACATGCAAAGTGAGTAAGTGCACAGTCACAGCTGCTATTTCTCCAGTATCTTTGTGCAATAACTGCTAAAAATAAATACACATTTCCAAGAAGTCAAACACTCCTACATGACAGTTAACTTTAAACTGAAACCATGACAGTTAACTTTAAACTGAAACACTCTGACACATCTACCTTACACTGAGAGATAAAATATATTTAGAAATAACCATAAACTTGGTGTCTCTGTAATTTTAGAGCTGTAGCTGCAACTTTTTCTGTTTGATATTTTCCATCGCTGACCTAATAAAGAGGCGTGTTTCATTGGACTTCAAGAAACAGTGTGTGAGAAACCACAGGTGCATTCATGGACATGACTTTCCACTCCAGGTCAAGGTCTGGTTTGTGTATAAAAGGCGGTAAAAGCATTCGCTCCTTGCAGAATTGTTCTGACTTGACGCAAACATGCTCAGGATTCTGGTGTTGACATGCCTCGCTGCCTTGGGTAAGAACAAAGAAACATGTACACTGAAAACAATAAAAATACTCTAATTTTTTGCAGTTAATTTTATTAGTTTTGCTCAATTGCATACTATCTGAATGAGATCGTTTACTTTAAGTAAGCAGTAACTTCTATCTACCAGCTACATCATTTCTTTCTACTTCTTATTGTTTTTGAAATTATGGAAGAATTTCCGTGTCAAAATCAAGTTGTTGTTTTGTGTTTTGAACCAGCGGTAGCTGAGCTGCAGCATGAGCCCAAGTACCTGGAAGACAGCGTGCAGAGAGTTGTTGGAGGATCGGTTGCCAAACCCAACTCCTGGCCCTGGCAGGTAACACACTGCGGATGCTACTAGTTATATTTAATGTGTCTGATTTAAAATGGAACTCAAATGTGATCAAAACAGAATGACAAAAAAACTTGAAGAAAGTACTAAATCCTGTGTTCATTCTCTTTTCAGATCTCTCTTCAGTACCTGTCTGGCAGCTCCTGGTACCACACCTGTGGAGGAAGCCTGATCCGTACTGGCTGGGTGATGACCGCTGCTCACTGTGTGGACAGGTAGCGTAAAGAGTCTTACCTTGAAATGTTCATGGTTTTGTGCTTACGCTTTTATTTGACACAAAAATTTCAGTTTGTATAAAAAATTGTCATTTATTTTGTCTCCTATTTGTCTCTTATTTATGTATCGACCTTGATTACACTTCTCACAACTTCAGAAAGTGTAGACAATTAAAGCTTAATAAGTTAATTCATTAACTATGATATCTCACAAGAAATATTTATTTCATCACATACTTTAAAATGTTGAGTTAGTCCTGCTCAGAATACACTGACTATGTTTAATGAACTTCCAAGGTGGATACAAAAATGGTTCGAAACAAAATAAAAACGATGAAATAGGAGAGAAGATTCATTTAAAAAAAGCGAAATGTCAGGGCAAATATCAAAAACAACTTTACTACAGTTACATTCAGGTACAGAATAATTATTGCAAGGAGTTAAAACTTATGTTTTTAAATCTTTAAATAGAAGAAAATGTGTAAAATAATTGATAAGGTTTCCTATTACTGAATGAATTCGTTTTGTCGTGATTTTTTCAGCATTGTGTGTTCTTTCTTTTTTGACTTGTGTATGGAAAATTTTAAAATGATTAAACATAAAGATATACTAACTACTTTATACCGTTTCTGTGTTTTGTAGTCCAAGAAGCTTCCGTGTGGTTCTTGGTGAGCATGACCTGTACGTCAACGGTGGAACCGAGCAGGTCATCAGTGTGAGCCAGATTTACGTCCACCCCAACTGGGCTTCAAGCAGCGTCGCTAATGGGTGAGACGTGTCTTTAAAACACAGTTATAACATAAGAAAGCGTTTAATTCTGAGCTCACTGGGGGCTGAATGTGACTCTTTTGGTCTAAGCTGCAAACATGTTTTTGCAAAGCATCTGGCATCCATGCTAACAGTTTTGCTTTCTGTATTTCAGATACGACATTGCTCTGTTGAGGCTGTCATCCAGCGCCACCCTGAACAGCTACGTTCAGCTTGCCTCTCTGCCCCCCTCCGGCCAGGTTCTGCCTCACAACAACCTCTGCTACATCACTGGATGGGGACGCACCGCCAGTCAGTGCCTTTTCACAATATTGATATTATTTCCTATTCTTTATGCTAAAGCTAAACGCATCATGTTCCTTTTGATCAGCTGGTGGAAGCCTGTCTGCTCAGCTGAAGGAGGCCTACCTCCCTGTGGTTGACCACACTACCTGCTCCAGGAGCGACTGGTGGGGCAGCACCGTCAAGACCACCATGGTGTGCGCTGGAGGTTATGATGAGGCTGGATGCAATGTGAGTCTGTTTCCTTTTTTCCCCCTCATTTTTATTAATACATTTTGACATGTAGTTTGACATATCGGATACAAGTGGTACTTTTAAAAAAAGTGCTTTCAGTCAATTAAAAAAAATAATTTAATTAATCACACTCTGGTACTGTGATTAATCACTATGCAAGATTGAAGTATAAATATGCACATTTTCAAAAATGTTTAGGAAAATGTTTGATTGTCTCAAGCCAAATATGTCTGAAGATGTTCAGTTTTCCAGGTTTTTACATTCAGGAACGTTTAAATGAAGTCATTTAATTTCAAATGCTAACAGTAACAGAAATAAGACAAAAACAATGCTTATGTGCAGTCCTGTATAATTGTCTTCAAGGAACTAAAGTTATTGATAAAAAGTTATGTCTGAAAAACATGTCAGTATTCCTTCTGAGCCTAAACTTGACTTTTTTTTTCTAGTTTAAAAAAAAAAAAAAAAGACATGTCATCTTGCAGCCAGTTGCTGGGGTTGAGCAGTTTTCCAGGACAGTAAAATTCTGTCATGCCAATAATAAGCTAAAGCCAATAACATCCATCTGCTTCCAACCAAGATTTACGATGGAGTCCTCAGGAGTACCACAAATGGCCACTAGAGGGCAGCTGTCATGTTTGTCACACAGATCAGAAACACCGGGACTGACTCCTGATCATTTCTTTTAGATTTACACGGACAGGATTTTTGAATTTGTGAGGTTCTGGGGGGAAACACCCCATCAAACTTCAACCTTTCTGGTTTTTACTCTCAGGGTGACTCTGGAGGCCCTCTGAACTGCCAGGTTAGCGGCAAGTACTACGTGCACGGCATTGCCAGCTTCGTGTCTGGTCTGGGCTGCAACTATTATCAGAAACCCACCGTCTTCACCCGCGTGTCTGCCTACATCAGCTGGATGGACTCAGTAAGTGTTAACCAGCCAAACTCTCAGTGTTTTTATTAATTATTCAAAAAGATGGACCCCTAATGAGCTTCTACTTTTTCTCTTTTCCCCCCCAGATCATGGGTTAGGTGTTGCAGAATGCTAAGGTGCAAGGCTGAGTTTGATTATGTTGGCATCTAAAGAAAAAGCTATTGCATTCGTCTCATTCTCCAAAATAATAAAAATACAAATAAACTTTGTCTGCAGGCTCGTTTTTTATATAAATAATAGCAAGCACATTTATGTACCTCACAAGGGTAAACAAAAAAAAGGAAAAAGTGGCCTGCAAAAGTATCAATACTACTCTGACTTGTTTTTTTTGTTTGTTTTGTTTTGTTTTTTGCATTTTGTCCAATTAGCAATCAACAACCACTCAGGGTAAAATAACTTATTGCAGGAGTCAGTGTGGAGTTTCTTGGGAAGTTTATTTACACTCTACCTTTCATGCACTAAACATGCCTTTCTGGTTCACAGACTGGTATGCAACTGTTGCTGCCAGGGGGTGAATAAATCTCTCAAAGTTTACACACACTGCATCAAAGGCATCAGTAAATTAGTCTCATACAATAAGATGTTATTTTATTTTTAAAAAATGTTGAACTGGAAGTTTCCATGTAGGGGAGTGAAAAAGAGGCAAATTACAAAAACAAATCATCACACTTGGCTTTATTTAGGCCAACATTTGAGGGACCCTGGTTCACCTGCTTGTTTTTTTGTTTTTGTTTTTAAACACCGGTTCCATATTCACAAACTTCTCAGAAAACCTGCGACTCTCACGGTGAACTGATATGAAAGTTTCCTTTAATCCTGATTACTTGTTTCTTATCAGCCGAGCTGCTTAAAGCACATCTTTCCAGTTCCTGAATTCCTTTCTGACTTTTCAGGTCAGAGTGACCCAGCAACTTGCACACATCAATTTCCTTCTGATAAAAACATGCCTCACTGCAAAACAGTTTAAAAAAAATCTATTAACAAATAATTATCAAATAATTATTCCCTACACTACACACTTCTGATTTAAGTTTCCTGACTGGCACTAGCTGCGTTTCCATTACAAATATGTGTAAAACCTTGTCAATATTTCATTAAAGTTAAAAAAAAAAAAAAAGCACAATTTCGAAATTGCAATATTTCCATTAAGTAAGAAATGCTATTAAAATCACATAAATGAGTTTAGGTAACACTTTATTTGAAGGGGTGTGCATAAGACTGACACGACACTCTCATAAACATGACATAACACCTGTCATGAACACAAAGGAGTCTTTATGAATGTCTATGACAGTTGTCATGAAGTGTCATTTGGTAAATAATGACACTTTTAATGCAAAGTTGCTCTAAAAGTTGCATTAAAAGTCCATTAAAAAAATTGCACTAAATTATCATAATTTACAAAACCATGCAAAGTTAGTACTTTTAACTGAAACTGAAACATTCATAAAGACTCCTTTATGTTCATGACAGGTGTTATGTCATGTTTATGACAGTGCCATGTCAGTCTTATGCACACCCCTTCAAATAAAGTGTTACCTAAGTTGAATGCAAAAATCCATTAAAACATGCCACAGTATCATCCTCCCTGCTGTTTTCTTCTTCATCCGGTTGTTGATCATGTGACTCGTGTGAAGCAAAAAAAGTGTTTGTATTGCAGTTTTGTGAAATAAACCAATTTTAATACGACCAAACAAAACACCTCAACCTAACGCAAGAACTTTTTATTGACAACCAAGTTTGTTTTGTTTTGTTAGTTTTTTTGTTTCAAAATTGGTGCGTTTCAATTAAGCAAATTTATTTTTGAAATATTAAATTTTGCAATTATACAGTGAAGGGAAATGCAGCTAGTGTAACAAAATTGAATGGATTCATTTTATCTGTCAAGGAGTTAAATTGTAAACAAACAAATTTTTACTGTAACTTTAGTGAAAAAACGACTCAGTATAATAAATGCACTACATGACAATATGTAGAAAATGTCCTCTTATGTAAATAAATTGCACTTGTAGAGTTATGGTCTCTAATGTGAGGGATATGATGGTGTTTTTATTATAAAGTCATAGCCATTATTGCATTTGGACAAAAGGTTATGGCAACAGCTGGAAGAGGCGATATCCAGGATGTGAAGTCCTGTGAATAACAAATACTTTTTTACAGCGTCAGGCAATGTACATCATCATGAAAGTTATTAAGAATATGATATTCTCAGAATACCAATATATTAACAAGTCGATTGTAAATTGAATTATTATACTGGATCCTGTCACACAAAATATCAATAATTAATAATGACACTCTTATTGGTTAAGTGACACTTAGAGAAATTTGATGGGGCTGATTACATCTACTGGATAAAGATCATCTCTTCCTCTACAAAGGTAAACCTCTGGATAATTTGAATTTTCTGTGTTCATTAGTTAACTTTAGGGAAAGTTTGGAAAAGAGAAATAAAATCTAAGTGAGTCATTGTGAAACCACTGTGGTCCAGTAACAGTGCTGTAACATCTCTGAGCAAATGGGATGTGGGACCTTAGTGGGCACGGTTCCCATGGCAGCGTTTCTCTGGCGCTGCCAGCAGGGATTATCTGGAATATCATCCTCAAAAGCGGGACGTTTCTCCCGCTTTTGAGAAATCTCAAAAGGACAGTGTCTGGAGATAAGATTATTTAGTTCAATCTAATCACATCTGAAGGCATTTTCATCACACTTGGTCCAAATAGTAAAATTATCGCACCTGTGTATGAATAGGAATGTTCAAAGTCAGTTGTTTTTTTTTTGTTCCTCACATCAGCAGTTCAAATTAACATTACAGAAAACTTCAAAAACACATCTGAAAAAGTCTTTGTTTTGCCAGTGCTCTCATCGGAGGACAATTTCCTTTCCTGCTAAGCAGGGCAAACATGTTAATTTCCTGTTTTCTTAGGCAACTAGGAGGTGACTCACACCATCAAAGGCATGCACATTTTATCAGCCACAGTGCCCAATATCAAACAAAAAATGTGAAATTCTCCTTACCTTAAATACATTAACAAAAGCAGGAAGCATGAGTGGCGTGTGATGGACCACGATGGGCGGGTTTCAGTTGGAAAACTTTTTGTTGAGCTGCTTCTGCAGTGCCATTTCCTTTTGAGTGGCAAAGCTCCTTCCCGCACTTTTTTGAATTTCTCTGACTCTGATCACCATTACTAGACTTGTAAGTATTTTGCTCTACTTACTTCACATTCCTTATTTTGTCATTACTTTGCAAATGGAAAGTATTTGTTTAGTCTGATTTTGTAAGTAAAACAGCTGTTTCATTTCTTTATAAATTTGTGATTCTTAACTTTCAGTAGTTCTCATTTATTGTGTCATACTGCATCTGCCTCCTCTACCTCCTCAGATTCTGCTGTTCAAGTGCATTTTTATACAATCATTTCTAAAGCTTCCTTTGAAGCTTTTCATTAGTCTTTGGTCTGTTATTCATTTTCAGTTTAACATTCTGATGTTTTAGGAAGAATGTTTGCCGTAGTCTATTTTCTAAGCATTGTTTTCAAGATATGACTTTCAGATACTGTTCTTTTCTTGAGGAAGTTGTTTAGTTTGATACTTCTCTGGACTTTTAACAGGTTTTAAAAAATGTAGGTTTTAACCAACTCCTTAGCTAACATCATAGAATAAACGTGCCTTTATAAACTTCAGGTTACATTTACACCACAGTATAATCATTGAAACCTGGTAAATGTTAGGTCATGTATAAATTAAAACCCTAAAACTTAAGTTATCTAAAGTGTGGATTGTAAATTCTTAAACATACTAGTGTGTGTGTGTGTGTGTGTGTGTGTGTGTGTGTGTGTGTGTGCACGTGCATGCGTGTTTGTGTACATGTGTGTTTTTTTTATTAAATGAGATCAAAATGAAAATCGCCGCCTTCAATGCAAAGAAACTGGGACTTCGAAAAGTCAAAAACACCAAAGTTTGCAAATACCTTATTAAGGTAAGAAATGCTTTTCATTCTTGAATGGAATTTAATTGAATCATGGCAAATGAAATAGGAAGTCGCATAAAAAGAAATGGGAACAAGAAAAGCATGAATATGTTTTTTACTTGCCATACATTTCTCCTAGATCATCTCTCAGTACAGCATAGTGTTCATACTGGAGGTGATGGATAAAACTGGGAAAGCAATGGAGATGTTACTGGAAAAGCTCAGAGCTGTGTGAGTGTAACTTATAAAAACAAAATGCAAAAACCTAATCATGTTGGTTGTTTACAGCAAAAATCTGACAGATATGGATGCATGAAAATGTGTTTCAAAAGAGAGGTTTAAGATGACCTTGCAAAGATTTAGAAGAAAATTAAAGACCAAAGCTGTTATAACTGAAAACAGCAAAGACATGAAAATATAATAACATTGTGATAATAATATAAGTTAATGTTTTCTTATGCCGTGTTTGTTTCCAACAGTTGTGATAAATATGAAATGGTCTGCAGCTCAGCTCTCGGCAGAAATGGCTACAAGGAGAAGTTTGTTTGTTTCTATAGGTGGGTCACATAAACCATGTTTCAGAGGCTGTCAGTAACATAAAAAAGTATCTTCATCATACATTACATTCATCTTACCTCTCTCTGCGGTGCTTTGTATGTTTCAGAGAGGATGAGGTCGAACTAACGGATCAGCATCAGTATGAAGACAATCAGCCGGGGGACGAAGACGCTTTTGCCAGAGAGCCCTTGATTCTGCGCTTCTACTGTCCTACCACAGGTCTGCGCTGTTCATCTAATGATTTTATTACACCATTAGCTGTGATTAGCTTGTTGCTCAGACTTAGAATAATTACTATAATTACTGTTGACTGAAGAACAAATATTAGAATACGCAATGTTTGACAAAGCCAGAATATCAGCAGTTGCTTTTCTGTCACATCTTTATTATTGTCATTGTATCCCTTAAGTTCTTAGTATGGTTAATACTTTTGTCTTAAAATATCATTAATGTTAACAGAGGTAATTTCATTATTCATAAAATACATTGGTTGCTAAGGAATAAAACAAATGCACCTATCTGTATCAAGAATGCTGTGAAGTTTATTATAAATGATTTGTTTTTAGACATTTTTGTTTCAGCAGCACTGTGTAAAAATACTCCAAGATGAATATGTTGAATCACAATTATTGTATTTCAGTTGAAACTGTTGCATCATTTTAGCCATTTAATTAATTGATTTCATAATCAAGTCAGTGTTTTTTTCTTTGTGTTGTTGTAAGTGCATTATGTTATAAAAGGTTTAATCTACAACATAAACTTTCAAGTTTGTTAATGTGTGTATAGGAATACAGTATACTTGGGATTTCTCTCTTCTGTCCCACAACAGTTGCCAAAGATCTGGTCCTGATCCCGGTTCACACCCAACCAAATGATGCTGAGAAAGAACTGGATGAGCTCCATGATGTGGTCAAAACCATGAGAAAGAAATGGAAAAGCCCGGTAAGGATTAAAGATTGATATCCAAGAAAAACTTGAGAATGTGAAACTAACTATATTTTTGCACTTTCTTTTCACATAAAATGTTCCCTAAATGAAGATTGTACTCTGGTACCTCACAGCTACTGAATGAAAGTACACCTCTCGATGTAGCTTAAGAACCAACCACCAGATGGCGTTTTTGAGGCACAAGCACAAACTGAGATGCATACATCTTTATGATCACTATGTCACTCATTTATTGCGACTCCGCTGAATAGTTTAACACAAACTTAGAAATAATGAGCACAGAGTAACAAGAACAAACTAATCACTAAATGAACAGTGCTAAATTAACTAGAATGACAAATAATTATCATAATCCTTTGCTGAAGTCATGTAAAAACCAGACAAACACAGCAGAATGCTACATTATGATAGGCAACGGCTTTACCAATATTTCTCTTTTTCAGAACATTATGGTTCTGGGAGACTTCAATGCAGCTGGTTCATATCTTTCAAAGAAGAAGAAGAAAGTGATACGCATCTCCTCTCCTCCTTTCTATTGGCTGATTGACGACACGGTTGACACAACAACTCACTCTAACAAGCACGCCTATGACAGGTGAGGCGTTATCTTAACACATTCTGTGAATTTAGTATGCAACCCATACAGTCATGCTGAAATGGTATTTTTCCATCTTATGGTTATAACTATAAAATCTAAACAAAATGGCTCTGTAAATACATTGAATAAATGGAAAAAGCCATTCACAGGCCTTTCATCTTGTCCTTAGACAGCTCTTTCCATTCATAAAAGATTATTTTTAACTCAGATTAACTTAACAGATGACCATGACAGGATCATTTTCTTTCTTAAAAACAATTCTGTTTTAGAATGTGTGCTTTTTTAAATCCATGTTAATTGTGTGTTATTGGGATTTTATTTGGTATAAAAGGACAAGGTAATGCATAATTGGGAGGAATTGAATGTTTTAAGAACCACACTGAAGACACTGTGATGCCTCTTGTTCCAACAGGATTGTGGTGTACACAAAGAAAATGCAAAACACCATCGTCCCCAATTCAGCCAAACCTTTCAACTTCCAGAGAGAGTTCAGGCTAAATAAGACAGTAGTAAGTTTCATGTTCACAACTGTAAACGTCAGAAATGAGTTGAAGCTTTTAAAGAGCAGAACACTCTTCTTTCCCTTGTGGTTTCCAAGGCTCTTAGCGTCAGCGACCATTATCCTGTGGAGGTGGAGCTGAAGACTGCAGTGAGAAGAAGGAAGAAAGCCACATGTTGTGCAAGAAAAACATCCACCAAAGGAAAACCTTCGAAAAAAGGTAGTCTTTACTTTACTGACCACATAGATTAATATTTCAAAGTGTAATTGATTAATCAAACTGGACTTCCTAATGTCACAAGCACTGGAATACTTTAGTAACATCTGCCTTTTCAAACTTAAAGATGCAGTACATAATTTTTATACAAATATGTCCTTCTCATATTTGTTGAAACTGTCACTATGGCCTGATAGTGTGAGACAGATAATCTGTGAAAACACTCAGCTCCTTTGTCTCCTCCCTCTTATCCTCCTGCTATCTGCAGAAATACACAGCTTGGCCAGAAACAACCAATCAGAGTCAGGAAGAGTGTCTCAGCACAGTCAACATCCCTTGTGAACAGATCATTTCTCTCATAATATGCGGTCATGAAATATCGAAAGCCAAGAAATATGTAAAAGACATTTTTATAAGAAATTGTATTCTACAACTTTATGAATGGAAGGACAGATAAAAGTCCAGGAATGAAAATGAAAAGTGATAAACTGACTTATTTAAGGTCTGATCTATACTTTTTTTTGTTAATAAAAATCACAATCTCAGCATTTTTACTCTCAAGAAAAGAAATCAATAAGAGTTTTCTTTGATCCTAATAGAATAGTTCTAATTCACAACTTCCTCTTTAATCATATATAATGTGTGAATTATGAATTAAGCTTGACGTAGACTCCAGTTTGAATTAAACTTTAATGTCAATGATGGTGGCGTTGGTAGACGTTTGTCCTGTAAGCTGTGGGTTACTGGTTTGATTCCCGCCTTACCTGTGGGAGTGGTCAGAGGGCCTGGTGGCACTGCTGCATGGCAGCCTCACCCAGAGCAGCTGTGGCTACTATCCAGTAGCTGGTCACCATCAGCTTGTGAATGACTGAATGCAATGTACAGTGCTAGGTGGATCACTTGGACATGACAAAATGTTATAAGTACAAAGCAGGAAATTGAAGTGAAAGTGCAGCCTTTATAAATTCACATCTGTGTCTTATTTTGTTCTGGTGAAAATATTTGTCTTCTCTTTTAATTTAAATCATCAGGGCCTCAGAAGAGGGCCAGTCCAGCAGAATCCAAGAAGAGGAAGAATTCAGCAGCAAAAAGAAAGAGAGGACAGCAGGTGACATTCAAGATTCAAGAAAAGAACAATATTGTGACTTATTTGGAAATATGTAGTCTCTAGGGCTAACACCTTTCAGTAATTTAATAGAGTACCCATAATGGTAAAAGCAAGAGAAAGTTTTTGTCTATGTGGTATTTAGTAAAGAAGCAATGATGTCTTGTCATTTTCTTAAAAGCCTTGTATCCTTGTATGCTATGGAAATACAAAGCAAATATGCAGTAATGTAGGAGGGATATGAAAGTCTTATTATATATTTAGAAATAAAACTAAGACCACTGCAGTATGTTTTCCATTTGCTTCTTATTCTTTTGTTAAATACATTGGAGTTTTATTTGCTAAACGTTCTATTTTTTTATTTACTTCATATTCCTCTATCTTTCTCTAAGGCTCTTAGTGTCACTGACCATTATCCTGTGGACTCAAAGACTGTCCGAAGATCCCAACAACAAAGGAAAAAGGCCGCACCCCCAAAAAGAAAAGCATCCAGCAAAACACAAACTCCAAAGAGAAGTACCCTATACATTATTCATTAATTTCATACCATCTAACATGTTGAGGGTTGTGTCTATATGCATAGGGCAATAAGATTTCCAGTGAATCTAACAGGCAGGTTCTATGAAAGTTAGAGAAAGCTTGAGTAGCTGGAGATAACCTACACATGCCTGGTGAAAACCTAATGCACCAAGACAAAAGAAGAGGGATGCTATCCTCCAACAAACTCCAAAGAAAAATACTTCTATTCATTTCAATTCATCTTGCTCAGTGTTTCAGCAGAGAGCCGTTAGTGTACAAAAGGTGGGGTCACCCTGGGCAGCAACTAATGACACACAATCTCACACATAAGGGCAATTTAGAGAGAACAATTAACCTAAACAGGTTAAACTGTCATGCTCAAAAAACAAGGCTGTTTTTTGAGCTTCCAAAGAACATTTTTGAATTGAGAATATGCAAACTCCTTAACTGAAAGATCCCAGGCTGGGTTGATCCAAAGCAACAGTGCTACAACAAAACAAAACTGGCTGAAGTTTTACCATGAAAGACAAAAATAATTATATTAGGCCTCACACATAAATCCAGACTCCATTAATTCAAACTGAGTCAGAATTAATGCAGTTTCCCAAGATGGAAAGTGTAATAATTCAAACTCTGAGTCATGTAAATGCACATGCTTGTTTTTAATTTTGGCCCCCTTTCTTTTAAATGAAACCATAAGGAGCTCAGAAGAGATCCAAACCAGCAGACTACAATGGAAGGAAGACTCAAGCAGCAAAAAGGAAGCGTAATGAACAGGTAACACCCAAGAGCGCAATGAAGAGGCAATGTGTTAGTGTTCATGTCAACATTTTCTAAATCTGGCACCTGTTAACAATATCAGCTTCTGTATCAGTTAGTGCCAATATTCTTAAGATGTATTTTAATTTTAACTACATAAATTGTATTATTTTCATGTTCATATTCTCAGGATGAGCAGGTTTTAAACCAGAGAGTTAATGCGAGTCTGATATTGCTGAACATAACCCTTATGATAGAGCAAAGGTATTCAAATCCAGTCCTCCAGGGCCTGAGTCCTGCAACATCTCTGCTTCAACACACCCGACTCAAATAATCAGGTCATTAGCACAATTCTGGAGAACTTGGCTGCATCCCAAGCAGGTAATTCAACCATTTGATTCAGGTGTGTTGGACCACAGACATGCCTAAGAGTTGCAAGACATCAGCCCTCGAGAACCGGATTGGAATATCTCTATGCTAGAATGTTAGATAGGTTAACAGCTAAGTGTGTTATGTGTCAAAGACACATTAAAAATACTTTAGTGTGAAAGTGGATGGACAGTTATTTAATTTTATGGAAACTTTATTTTTCTCTCTCTCTCTTTGTCGCTTTCTCTTTTTCTCTGTGTGTTCATTTCAACTCTGCTCTCTACCAAGTAGTCACCGCCGCCTCAATGGTCCAATTATGAAAGTGCTGGTTCTGAATGTTTGGACGATGAAAGATCTGAATTGTCCGACACTGAAAGCTCCTACTCCAACTCTCAATGGCTCAACTCTGAAAGATCCATTCCTGACCAAACCGATTCCTGTCTGCTGGTTCCTCTCACATGGATTCATTAATTCTGTGGCTTATAAAGGAAAATCATTCATACCGCCCTTTCAGCATCCTGTTCAACAGACCTGTGCCTGCTATCTACTCAAGAGATCCAATGGGCGGCCGATCAACAGGTTGTGCTCAAATCAACCCAAGAGCACAGATCTAAGAATTATTTCAACCTCTGTGTGATTTTTCTTTCTTGAGCTTTCAAAAAATAAGTTTTATCAAAAGGTTACCAATTTCCCCCGTTGCATTACTAGTGTCACTAACCATGAAGTCTTCCTAGTTTAGTTTAAGGTGTTGCTTATTTACTTGTAACTTTCATAGGGAAAAACCTTTTTCTTTTTGTTGTGATTTATTTTTTCTTCATCTTAGAAATATTTGTATGAAATATAATTTTATTTTTTACTAATGCATGTTTCATATTCAGCTGTTTTAATTTCATATGTGTTAAATAAATTTTTTCAGTAAGCAAAATTTGTACAGTAAGTAAAATTTGACAAAATGTTTCCTCAATATACATTTCAGCTCAATAAAGACTGACTTTGCATGCACAAGTTTTTTTCTTTCATATTCCTTATCAACCACCATGTCAGGCATCAAAATCGGGGATGTTACTTTAAAGCAATTCAGCTGGGAAACTATGAGGTAGTATGTAAAAATTGATTTTCAGAACCTGCTTGCTAAATTAAATATTTTAATATCAAATAATTAGATTGCATTCTTTTGAATGTAAGATTATATGCAATGGTTTTGGGTTATTATTATTATTATTATTATTATTATTATTATTATTATTATTATTATTATTTATTTATTTTTTCTTTTAGAATAACTAATCATGGGCTTTTAAATATCAGAACATTTACAGCTAGTGGGTTTATTCATTATTAAAATAAAAAATAAAACATGTTGGTGTTCCTGAAGTTATGCAATTGCTTCTTCTGTCCACTGGATGTCACCATCAACCTTTTCAAGCTTATGAATTTTTTTTAGGTCACTAGTGACTCACAGTTAACACCATTAATTATGTCCAATTGTTTGCTTGTTTGATTGTAATCTTGATTTAACCAGGTATGTTTCATTGAGATTAAAAATATATTTTTCAACACAGAACTGGCCAAGAATAGCAGCAGCACACCGACAATTATGACTCATAAAACCACAGACATCCAAAACCAATAAAAATACATTATGGATTAAAAAAGGAAGAGAAATAACAAAAAACAAACATATCCATGAAAGTAAAAATGAGGATAAAATAACGCTCAATAAATTTCTTTGTAATTGCTTTAACAAATCTTATTTACAAACTTATTAAAAGTGGCTTTAAGTAAATCAGGAGAAACCATTTCCTTCAACTTTGAGTCTTTCTGTAGTTATTCCAGAAAGGGGGCAGCAAACTGGAAGCATTTTTTGCCTTTATTAGTGTGAAACTTAGGAACAGTTAATAAAATGTTACACATTAATTAGTTTTTCCAATTTTTTTTAAGGAAAACTTGAGTTTGACAATATTTTTTGTCATTTATGTCAATTGAATTTTGCTTAGTTTTGTGAAAACCTCAGTAAATTCACAGCCAGAAGACTGCAGATATAGCCAAATTCCAATCTCAGAGGTCCATCTGTTTTGTCTGTTTAAGCACAAACTAAAACATCTTCCAACCAATGATTCTTTCCCATATTTGCAGACTGAGTCTTCACCTGGAACAGATGAGGCTAAAACTGAGCTTTCTAACAATGAACACACTATGATTAACAGTGGAAAGGCTCTCTTCCAAAGGCAGCTGGAGCTTTTCAAACTGCACTGCCTCGTGACTTTTTGAAATACCAAGAGATTTAAAAAATGAAAACATGGGAACCTATGGGCTCAGGACTCAACTGGCATCTCGGAAAATCTGTCTTTAATGATGCATCAAGAAGAAACACTCCAAACTATATGTCCCGTTTATAAACAGAAAAGTTATGTTATTTTCTAGCATAAAAACAGAAGAAAGACAAACCAAACTAACAAAACCCTTTGATAATAGTTAAGTTTGAGAGTGATGAAGATAAAGATGAAGAACAATTGAGAAACATCTGCAAATTACACAGTTTAAACTAAATTTAAACTAATTCTATATAATGTCAAAATTGTCCAAATTACAAAATAAGTTCACAAACATGTATGTCCTCATAAAAGTGGGTCTCTCTATGTTATCAGATGTGCAGATTTACGTCACTGCTCTTGGTACTTTACCCTCCTCTTCAGCAGCTGCTGTTTGTTTCAGCGATTCACACACAGCAGTTCAGACTGATGTCTGCTACACTTTTATCTGTTTTTCCTCTTTGCTGCCGTCACTCTAATAACGCACATAAAAACACCAAAGGTTCTCCAAACATCATGATGTGATAAACACTTGTAATGCACTTAAAACCTGTCGAGTCTCATCTTATAGCAGAGCACATCAAATTGTATCAGGGTATAACAATGAATGGGTCCTAAACCACTGGGAGCTGCACCAGTGCTGGGACATGGCTGTAGCACTGGGCCACACAGCATCACTACCTAATGAGAAGCTATTTTATCTTAAAAACCAGTGGAGTCCTTGTGATTTAACCAAAGAACTTAAGTATTAAAGTAATATTAAGCAGAGCAGGAAGACAAGCATGTGACATGGAGCATGGAGGACCTGGTCCAACCCAACACCATGTGTCTGATTTTGTACTTTTATCATTAAAGCTGCAGTACGTAACTTTTGTAAGTTATTTCTTCACTTATTTGTTGTAAAAAAAAAATAAGTTAGTGTTGTCAATCACAATCTCATGTGGCGCTGCTCATTCTTCCTCCCTCATCCCTCATTGCTATGCTGCACTGCAGCTAGCAGAGACTTTAGTGAATGCTAAAGCTAGTTAGCATAGCCACAGATGATGGCGGATAAACGGTTTTCCTGCACCAGTAACTTGTTTCTCCACCATTAGCACA